TGGTCGTGCGATCAGGATTAGGGAGTGGGAAAAGATAATTATCCTGAAAACATAACCATAACCTATTGCCCTTATTACTAATCAATTTCATATGTAGACAAGCATCGAGGTTAATGGACGCACTAGGGTTTAATGGATGAAGTCCCTCTACAAGCTCTCCTAAACCAATCCCGTAAGCTAAAGTGGTAATCAAGCCACCTAACACAATTTTTCCACTCGTTGCTCTCGCTGCACGACACATATGATGAATCATAAAAGCTCCTTAACACAATTTTTCCACTCGTTGCTCTCGCTGCACGACACATATGATGAATCATAAAAGCTCCTGTGTCGACCTTATGTCCTTCAACCATGGCACATAAAAAGTAAAGTTCTCTCTGACACATGATTCCATCACTCTCGCCTCGACCGAAAATGGTAAAAGCCATGAACCTCTGTAAATATCTAAAGCATGGGTTATAAACAGCAGAGGCTCGTGACAAGGAGGGATCATAAGGTCTTTGAGTAGTAGAGTGTGCGATTGAAATCCAAAATGGGGTCAAGTTAAAGTTTTTGGGAACAATTCTAGCCCCACCCTCCGAAAAACCAAATATCTGATTTAATTGTGCTAATGTAAGTGTGTGAGACTGGTTAAATAGCCTGAAAGTGATTTTCCCTTCCTTTACACCCTCACCATTAAATAAAACAGCATCAAGAGAGCTTCTCACTTTCTTTTATCACTACTCATGCATATTTTACGCATATTTTACGCTAGACTAGATTTTTTACGCGTAATAATAGGCTAACGTAATAATGTATATTTTACGCGTTTATCACTTTAGCATGCATCCTCTTCAGGTATGGATGCTTACATAGCTTCTTCTCACAAATCTTGGGTACTAGATTCTGGAGTCTCATCTCATATGACAGGTATAAAGGATCACTTTGTATCTTTACATCTTTCTCATAAGTTTCCTTTTATTCGCATTGCTGATGGTACTCTTTCTCCAGTTCGTGGTGATGGAGTAGTTCATGCTACTTCCTCTTTAAAACTAACTGATGTGTTATATGTTTCCAAATTCCCTGTTAGCCTATTATCCATTAGCAAGTTTACAAAACAAAATAATTGTAAAGTCACATTCTTTCCATCTTATTGTGTTTTTCATGACCTAGCAACTGGGATGAAGATTGGTTCGGGACATGAGAAAGGAGGTATGTACTATTTTGATGACAGTGTGCCAGAGGCTGGCCTTGTTGCATCACAGTCTGACTCCACTTTATTGTGACACTAGCGTCTGGATCATCCTTCACTATAAAAACTTAGATCGGTAGTTTCTGTTCAGCCATCTATTTTCTCTTTAGGTTGTGAGTCGTGTGAACTGGGTAAGCACCATCGTGCTACTTTTTAGAGTCGAGTCGATAAACGTAGTAGTTTTGCTTTTGAGTTGGTTCATTCTGATGTCTGGGGTCCTTATCGTGTTCCCTCTGTGCAAGGTTTTCGATATTTTATTATCTTTGTTGATGATTTCTCTCGCATGACGTGGCTTTATCTGTTAAAAGAGAGGTCAGAGGTCTCGCACGTTATTGAACTCTTTTTATAATGAAATAAAAACTCAGTTCTCTACTTCTGTTCGTATTCTTCGTACTGATAATGCTTTGGAATATATGAAAAATGATGTTTCAAAATTTTGTGCTCTTAATGGCATTATTCATCAGACTTCTTGCTCTCACACTTCACAACAAAATAGAGTTGCTGAGAGGAAGCATAGGCATATTCTAGATGTTGCTAGAACACTGATGATACATATGAATATTCCAAAGTATTTGTGGTCTGATGTTGTTCTCACTGCAAATTATTTGATTAATCGCATGTCTTCCTCTGTCCTTGATGGTTTAATACCATTCAATTATCTTTATCCTGATAAAAAATAATTCTCTGTGATTCCCCGTGTCTTTAGTTCTACGTGTTTTATTCAGGATTTAACTGCTAGTTTGGATAAGTTGTCATCTAGATCCATCAAATGTGTTTTTGTTGGATACTCTCGTACTCAAAAAGGGTATAGGTGTTATCATCCGTCCATCAGAAAATATTTTGTGTTTGCTGATGTTACCTTTTTTTAGTATGTCCCATATTTTTCGTCTGGTTCCACTACTATTGGCTGTCCGCAGGTACCACTACCTTCTTCTGCTTCTACTACTATTCCATTATCTGCTCCTGTAGCTCCTGCACCGAAGCCTCTACTGACATACTCTCATCGTCCAAAAGTACATGCCCCTGAATCTGCTATTGCTGAACCTTCATCTCTAGCTGTCGGTCCATCTCATGTTGAGACATCTATTCCTTCTGACTTGGATATCCCTATTGCTCTTCGAAAAGATAAACGGTCTTACCTGAAATATCCTATATCTCTTTTTGTCTCTTATGACCGTCTCAACCTATCTTTTCGTCAGTTTGCCTTGTCTTTGTCCACTGTATCTATACCTAGGTCATATGAGGAAGCTATGTTAGTACCAGCTTGGAAGCAGGCCATGGATGAGGAAATGAATGCACTACTTTTTAGAGGGATTTGGGACTTGGTTTTTCTTCCTATTGGAACGACTGTGGTTGGTTGCAGATGGGTGTATATCCTGAAATATAGCCCTAATGGGTCTGTTGACCGTTATAAAGCTCGCCTAATTGCTAAAGGTTATACCCAGACATATGTTATCGACTATTTTGAAATATTTTCTCCCGTTGCTCGTCTCAACTCCATCAAAATTCTTCTCTCAGACTGTTAATATGGATTGGGTGATGCACCAACTAGATATGAAGAATGCTTTCCTTTATGATGATTTGGACGAGGAGGTTTATATAAAGCAACCTCTTGGGTATATTGCTCAGGGGGAGAATATTATCTGCAGGCTGAGAAATGTCATCTATGAGTTAAAGCAGAGTCCTCGAGCTTGGTTTGATAAGTTCAGCAAGGTTATTCTAATGTTGGTTTCCAACGTTGTCAGTCTGATCACTCTGTCTTTCTTCGACGCACAACAACTGGTTTGGTTATTTTAGCCGTATATGTTGATGATATTCTGTTGACTGGGAGTGACTCTATTGCCTTAGCTGAGACTAAGAAGTATCTAAACCGTCATTTTATCACTAAGGACATGGGAAAGCCAAAGTATTTTCTTAGGATTGAAGTTGCATATCAAAAACATGGCTTGTTGTTGTCCCAAAGGAAGTATGTGCTAGATTTACTAGAAGAAACATGTTTCTTAAAATGCAAACCTACAAGCACTCCAATGGAGGCAAATGTTGATTTGTGGCGTGATGATACCTCTCTCTTAGATGATGCTGGACGATATAGGAGACTAATTAGGAAGCTAATATATTTAACAGTTACCAGACCTGATATTACTTTTGCAGTAGGTGTACTGAGCAGATTTATGCACAAACCTAGAGAGGTTCATTGGACAGCAGCTCTGAAGATTTTGACATATGTCAAGAGTTGTCCTGACAAGGGATTGTTATATAAGAAGCATGGGCATACTCACATTTTGGCTTTCTCTGATGCTGGCTATGCAGGAGACATGGGAGACCGAAAGTTAACCTCAGGTTTTTGTACTTTTGTTGGAGGTAATCTTGTGACTTGGAGAAGCAAGAAACAATATGTAGTATCACGATCTAGTGCAGAGGCCGAATATAGAACAATGGCTCACAATGCTTATGAGATGGTGTGGCTAAGAAAGTTTATGACAGAGCTTGGTTTTGTTCAGCCAGGACCTATGCCAATGCATTGTGATAACCAGTCTGCCATTTATATTGCACAGAATCCTGTGTTTCATGAGAGGACAATTTATATTGCACAGAATCCTGTGTTTCATGAGAGGACAAAACATATTGAAGTTGACTGCAATTTTGTCAGAGATGCTTGGGAGAAGAAGATAGTATCTCTCATATTCACTCTGTCCTCACAATAACTTACTGATATTCTTACCAAGGCTACTTCTTCAAAGGTGTTCTCTACTATATGTGACAAGCTGGGCATGGTAGTATTCTTACCAAGGCTACTTCTTCAAAGGTGTTCTCTACTATATGTGACAAGCTGGGCATGGTAGACATTTATGCTCCAGCTTGAGGGGGAGTGTTAAGTTAAGTATTGGGTATTGGGTTAATGGGCTGTTACCCGTTAACCTTAACCCTATTTGTATGGCTATATATATCTCTCTTGTTTCTCAATAAACACCGATTAGTTCTCTATTCTCTACATTGTTAAAATCAGGGCGTCAATCTTTCATGTCAAATCAACAAGATTCGAAATTATTTGGAATTTCTTTTTTGCGCCACCTGTATTGTTAGGCAACAAAGTTGAATCTTGATAGAGATAATTTGACTAATCACAAGTGGCACCGGTTTTATCATGAGATATTATACAACCATCCTCTATGCTACTTATATGGATCACTGATCTCATGGTTGAAATCCATGATAAGTTGGTATAAGGTACTTTAATTTTCTTAACTAAGTGCCCTGAAAGAAGACACAATCTGCATCCATTCCCTTAACCTTTAGCCTAAAAAATATAAGGATAAATGAGACATTAGTTGGTGGTTGCATATTGATTTTGCACAAGACTACTTGGAGGTTAAGACAAACAGGAGAAGAGATTCAATAGAAGGGAAAGAAAAAGAAAAAGAAAAAGAAAAGTGAGAAGCAAGTTCGAAGCAAATCTGAAAGGAAAAAGAAGCTAAATGATTTTATCATAAGAACCAACAACCTGGTATATAGCTGTATAGGCCTCCTTGGGTCAGTAAGGGCATCATATCTTGTAGCATAAATATATTTACATTAATATTCAAATATTCATGTCTTATCATGCTATTGGACATGAAGCATATCTTAGTCCTTAATGATTGATTTTATAGTTTTGGTGGT